TTTGTTACGCTTCAAGTTTATGAGAGTCAAAAATATCAAGGCCTAATTTCAAAACGCGCTGTGTGATTAAATTTCATTTTGGATTTAAAAATCGACATGCAATTTTTTTTTAATTTTAGGGAAGGTATTCATTCAGAATGTTTACATAACTTTGTATTTACTTCCCCCTAATTATTCGGTGTAAGGTCATGGGTCATTTATTGAATTGTTTCATCATCACCCTGGTGTGCTCTGTCTTGATAGATCACGGTTGTTAGATCACGGTTAGCCATGATGTATCACAAAAAAACACAGTGATCTTCAAAGGAAAAACACCGCAACAATGATACAAGAATTAGATAGATTACACGATCAGTACATACTGGTTCCTGCCGACAAAGCAGGTAACAACATTGTCTTCGTTTGTAAGGCTCATTATATAAATTGCATTCTAGAAGAACTTGGACTTATTTCTACAATTGGTAATCCTACTTATACTCATACTTCCCTTTCTAAGGAAGAAATTCTTCAAAATCACCTGTCAGTTTTGAATACTTTTCATATTCCATAGAGCCAAAATGAATTTTGACTACCTTATATATAATGGATCCCGAAACTTTATAAGAATCCTTACAGACAAAGATACATTGCAGGTTCCAGTAAATGTTCAACCAAGCCTCTTTCGTTACTCCTGTCTAAGATATTGACAGTCGTGAAGGAAAAACTTCAATAGTACTGGGCAGCTATATATTCAAGAAGTGGTGTGAATCAGATGTGGATTCTAAAACATTCTAAAGAACTTTTGAACAATTTGAATTCACAAGATTTTACAAAAATCAACAGCTTAAAAACTTACGACTTTTCAACTTTATACACAACAATTCCCCACGACAAATTAAAATCCAAGCTATTTGATATCATTGACATTTGCTTCTTTAATAAAAATAGAACTCGTGAATTTACTTACCTCCTCATTGGTCATTTGCAAAATTATTTTGTTAAAACAGATTCTGATTGCACACATAAGTACTCTGAAGTTGACATCAAGAAGATGCTTGAGTTTCTGATTGACAATATCTATGTGGTTTTTGGAGACCAGGTATTACAACAATCTATTGGAATTCTCATGGGTACAAATTGCGCTTCGTTATTAGCTGACTTATTTTTATATTCATATGAAGCAGAATTTATGCAAAATCTTGTGCGTGAAAAGAAGAAAACACTTGCTGTGGCTTTCAACTCGACATTCAGATATATCGACGACGTATTGTCAATTAATAATGGTAATTTCCATTCCTACGTCGATATGATATATCCTGGTGAGCTTGAGATAAAAGATACCACAGAGTCCGACACTTCTGTTTCATACTTGGATACTTTACTTGAAAAAGACACTAATGGTAATTTAACAACCAAGCAATATGATAAACGTGATAACTTTTCTATCATCAACTCCCCTTACTTATGCAGCAACATACCTTCATCACTGGCATATGGAATATATATATATCAGTTGATTCGATACGCAAGAGCATGCTCTACGTATGAACAATTTTTGAAACGGGGTTAATCATTGACAAACAAGTTGATGAAACAAGAATATCAGCAGTCTCGTTTAAAGTCATCGTTTCGTAAGTTCTGTGGTCGATGCAATAACCTTGTCAGCAAATACAATTGATCATTATGTGGACTGATGTTTTTCATACAAATTGTTAGTCCATTATTTATACACTATATTGAAGACGGATTTTTTTCCGTTATTTCCTGATCATGACAAGGAGCAGACGGCGGGTGTGACCGGTCGGCAGGGGATGCTCACTCCTCCATGACACCTGATCTCACATCTGATGTTTCGGGGGACCATGTTTGCTCTGCTCTTATTTTGCATTGTTTTATGAATTTTGAGACTGAATACTGTTCGTTATCTCCACATTCTTCTATATAATTATGTACAATTTCTAAAATGATGTTTATGACAGACAAGTTGATGAAACTAGAATATCAGCAGTCTCGTTTGAAATCATCATTTCGCAAGTTCTATGTTTAATACAATGACCTTGTTAGCAAATACAATTTATCATTGAATCAAATGCTGACTGACTTTTTCATATAAACTGTAAGACCATTATTTACACATTGAATTGTCGACGGATTTTTCCATTATTTCCTGACCATGACAAGGGGCACAAGGCAAGTTTGACCGGTGTCGCATAATATTCGTTCCGGGTGTTTCGCGTTCCGGCCGGAACCTTAAAATCATAATATTGGTTCCGGATTTTACTGTAATATAGGTTCCGGCCATGAGTTCAATCTTCGAATCGCGGTATCTGACCAGATTTCATTTCACATTGAGCCATGGAAGTAGTGGGGTTTTTTCTTGAGGTTTTAGCATGACGCAGCGACATTCTATTTTCGTGCGTCGCGCAATTTTTTGTACTAAAAGTCTGACCTCTATAAACTTTCTTTAATTTTTTTAATATGTGTTGTTTCTCTGCTGTTTTTATTATTTACATCGGCTTAAACCAATAAATGCAGCAGCTTGGTTTAGATCTTTTGAATGTATCCCCCCTATCCCTTCGTTTTTGTCCCAATAAAAAACAATAAATTGTATATTTTTATCTGCTTAGAAAGGGCTTGAATAAATCTTTTTCAATGTTTTAATCCTTAAATGCATACATGTCAATGAGCGCATTCTTATTAACTGTTCTCTCCATTTCTATTTGTACAGGTATATACATATATTCACACGGTATGATGTTCATAAATGGATTTAGTTCATTAAAGAAATCATCAATTTACAGTAAATAGTTGATTTATTTAAACAAAAAACATTCTTAATTGTTTTCCTGACACCAGCGTTTCTTAAAATCACCTAAGATATGACATGTCTGCAGTCACCTTAAAGTTAGGACTAAGATTAGGAGGTTTCCTAAGATAGGATAGCTTCGATGGCCTCACTTAAGACTAAGATATGTCGTAAGTTCGTCTTAAGAGATGTCTTAGTCCTAAGATAGCTTCATAAGCATGCCTGCAGGTTTTCATTTTATCGAGTTCTAGAGCCGAAATTCACGTTTTATCAGAATTAAAGAGAAACGTTTTCTTCTTTTCCAAATAATTATAGCTTTTGAAAGTTCGTAAAAAAAATCTATTATATCTATAGGAAAAGTCAAAGATGTCTTTTGAAAAATCATGTAGGCGATAGAACAAACGTTCGCGGTTGCCTCCCCCACTAAGACTCTTTTGTTTGTTGAACACATTCAACAAATTGTTAATTAAAATATGGAAATTTCATACCAAGCAAACCAAGTTTTTTGTCTATTGTTCACTGCAGGGAAAAGGGGGGGGGGGGGTGAGCAGACTTCACAATGCTATTCATATAAATAGTAAAATACAGATCTGTGTCTGTAATACATTTCTTCTTCAGTGTTATTTTTACAAATGAATACAAATGTACTTGTACTTACGTGCATAAATAAAAATGAGTTGAATTTTATTCAAAAGTTTTTAGCCGTGTCATTGAAACATTTCCAAGTTGATTATGTGCATGTTTTGTTGACATATAACATTAAAATTATAAAAAACTTCACCTGACGAAGAAAAATAATCAACAATAAAAAACGCAACTACATGCATGGGTGTTTAAAAATTGTAAGGAAATTAAAATATTACCTAATAATTAAAGTATTTTATCGTAAATATAATTAATCTATCACCATTATCATTTGATCAGGGTGGTCATGTGTGCTTACGGCGATTCGCAAGACTGAGCAATTATTCGAATCGATTGAAGCCAAGTCTATCGTAAAACAGCACGATGGGGGTATATCAATGTAAACAAGTTTCACACCTTCTTTTGTTTACAAAGAATCAAAATAATCAACTGGAATTTCTTGGATTAAGGACATACGCAACGTACCTTACCTACTGATAGATTTCCAAGATAATCCAAATTTAAACTTATAATATAATTACATGTTCATAGACAAAAAATCAGCATGCCTTACCAATGGTTTTGAAAAGATATAAAATTTTGAAAATTTTTGCATTATTAAAAAAAATGTACAAAAATTATAAAACATAAATTTCAGATTTTTTCCCCTCAAAAATTGTTTTAGAAGAGGTGTACAAATCCATTTATAGACATTAAGAATACTGCACACAGGTCCTTCGTTTAGTGGAACTCTTCAACTCCAGGGGAAACCCCCAAAAAGTTCAAACTACGTTGCGTATGACCTTAATATAATATCTAAATCAGAGACATCAATAAATATATAATGTCTCTGGTAAAAAGACCGCATATTCTGACTTGAAATGTAAACATATATGTATGTCTTACGATCAAATCCTGCTGTATCATATACGAAGGTATAAAAGAAAGAAAAAAATTAAAATTAACAGCTAATATTAAATATAAATAGAGTTTAATAGGGTGCTTGGTTGCCCGGAACGTTTTTTACGGCCGGAACCAATCTTACGCGGGCCGGAACGTTTATTATGGCTCGGAACCAATATTATGGCCGGAACGCCAAGTTACCCGGAACGTATATTATGCGACACCGGTCGGCAGGGGATGTTCATTCCTCTATGGCACCTAATCCCATCTCTGATGTTTTAGAGATCTGTGTTTGCTTTGCTCCTATTTTATATTGTTTATTAGACTTTTGAGCTTGAATACTGTCCGTTATCTCCATATATTTTATATATTATTGTAGACTATGTGTGCTAAGTTATATTGAAATCAATTCAAAATAATAAGAGAAGCGGCATTTTGAAAAAAAAAATTACTGACATACAGACGAACAATTAGAAGACAAATTTGTGATCAGAACAATTTAGGTGAGCTGAAAAATAATAATTTTTCATTCCTAGTTTGAAATATTTAAAAAATTCACTTTTTTTGACAACCCTCATAATTAAAGATTTCTCCATTTAAGTTTTTAAATGAGAGCAGATAATGGGTATTGAAGAGTAATATCTTTTGATTTATTTCAGATTCCCTATAAATCAAACAAACAATATGGATGTTATTTTGCTTGTTTAATATGGCGCTTCTGGCTGCGGTGATCAATTTGCTGGGGCTACCACAGGGCTGCCCCACAATCAACAATCAATACAACAAATGTGACGACCCAAATCGGGCGGATCATGCACTGGGTAGGTCACAAGTGCAAGAACGTCACCAATGCAATAATCAATCAAATTCAATCAATCAATTATTAATCAATCAGTCAATCAATCAATTCAAATATCAATCAAGTCAATTACTTGTCAATCAATCAATTATTAATCAATCAATCAATTCAAATATCAATCAAGTCAATAAACAATGGAATGAGCGTAAGAATATGTGTTGCACTCGTCCAATTGCGTTGAGGTGCGACGGAATACGCAAACACTAGGAATTCCAACCACGACAAGGCTGAAGTGGACGGTATCCCAAACAGCCAGTCATTACGGTATAGGTAAAACAGAGACTTCATCACCGTGACATTGGTTGATGCGGAATCCCAAACAGGTAGTCATCACGGTATAGGCAGAATAGAGACCTCATCACCGCGACATTGGTTGATGCGAAAGCTGTTCCCAACAGGCAGTCTTTCAAGAATATGCAATCATACAGAATTCACTAATGCAACACAAGTTGATAAAGACACTGGACCAAACAGGGCACAATTGAGGAATATTGGAGCACACGATTATCACTGCGACATGGGATGTTGTGGACACAGGCCAAGCAGGAAGTCTTCAGCTACAAGACATAACAAGAACAGCAGTATTTGTTCTAAAACAAGAGGAGGGTGGGTGGGGAAAATTAAAATATTGCAACAATTCAACTTCACAAAATTTTCCATGACCTTACCGTTTTATCGATTTATCAAGAAAGGAAGAGGAGGTAACAACTAAGTATTAGACTAGTACATGTAAATGGACCTAAATTTTCCGGATTTATGGGTTGGGACTAAAGGTACATATAATATATATCTGTAAGGGCTTAAGATATCCGGAATGGAAGGACATAGGGTTACTGAAATAAACTCACTTATCCGAGACAGGCTCGAATAAGTGGTATTATTTCAGATTCCCTATAAATCAAACAAACAATATGGATGTTATTTTGCTTGTTTAATATGGCGCTTCTGGCTGCGGTGATCAATTTGCTGGGGCTACCACAGGGCTGCCCCACAATCAACAATCAATACAACAAATGTGACGACCCAAATCGGGCGGATCATGCACTGGGTAGGTCACAAGTGCAAGAACGTCACCAATGCAATAATCAATCAAATTCAATCAATCAATTATTAATCAATCAGTCAATCAATCAATTCAAATATCAATCAAGTCAATTACTTGTCAATCAATCAATTATTAATCAATCAATCAATCAATTCAAATATCAATCAAGTCAATAAACAAGGTGCGACGGAATACGCCACTTGCAAGGGCCATGACTACTCGTGTCTACTACGAGTAATCATGGAACTGCAACCGCCACCAATTGGGTGCCAAGAACCATGGTGACGACGGCAGTACCTCAACGCAAATGGTCACCGTCGACCAGGGCCTGCTCATTCATCAATAAAAATTTACAGAATAAGTGATTACACAAGTTTTACAAAAGGAGCCAATGACTTGTCCGTATAAAACAACTACTATTTCCTCTAACATTGTTGATACTTACCTCCACTGTATTTTTCCATTGGTTATTTGTATAAATTACCTAAAAGGCTGTAACTCTTTTATGGCTTTTAAATCATTAAAACACCTCTTACCAAGTTTCCTTGAGTGACAAAGTTCTATACTTAGAAAAATATAACTATCTTTGCAAGTGTTGCTTATAGTTGTCTTAAAGGATTTTGTACTGAAACAAATCAAAATTGGAACAGGACAAGATACTGTCATGGTTTCACCTCTTCTCTTAAGGTACTAAGCTACTTTTAACAACTTTTAACAATAACAATGTGTCCTAATACCCCCCCCCCACCCCCACCCCACCCAAACCGATCCCTTTATATACCTATCTATATAACTTAAGACCCTTCTTTAGTACTTCACAATTTATGAACCAACTATCGATTAGTACTAGGGAAAAAAATAGAAGACCAGTAAAGAGTGTAAAAATAGGTGAACACATGGTAGGCCTAATATTTGGACTCGAAATGGAGCAACCCACTATCCTAATTCTGATACCAGAAGGCTGACAAACTTACTATTGGATTAAATGGGATCCACTGTGCATTTATTAATGTTTAAACAATATGCTTTTGAAAAGCAGCAATTTTTAAAATTATAATAACCTTGTCCTCCCTGTAGCATTCTAATGTGTAGTATTTGCTTCAGTAATTGAAGTGAGAAAGATTTAATATTTATCCTACAAAAATGACAAATATATTTATAAACAATCCAATACTGTCTAACCCCGCCCGCAATTTCTGTTAAAAAGGGGGGTTGAGCCAAACGTCCCATTCAACCTCTCATATAAAGCTTCGATTAAAGGAACCGTATATTTTAGATTTATATTGCATCTTGTCAACCGGGCAATTTAACTCAGTTAAAACAAAAAATAAGAATTGTAAGAATGTTGACCAAAAAATATTGTTCGAAGAGAATAGTTTCCTCTCAGAAATGATGGTAATAGTAATTTATATCAAGTTTACTTCCTCAACTTTAAACCTTGAAATGCATATTTGGTAATTAAGGAAAATCCTAACTTATACGAATCCGGTTTAAATTATTTTATACATGCCTTTGTTATGTTTACTTGAGATTGTTGAGCATATGAAATTTGGTATATCGTTATATTCATGCGAAAATTAATATTTGTCATCTGCAAGTTTGATTAACTTAAGCTAGGTCATTGTATGCTGACACACAGAGTGATACACCCAATTCTTAGTTGCCTTAACACTAAAAAGGAATTGTTTTTATTTTGTACAAATTTACTTTAGATGTATAATCCATTTCAAGAGAGCATGATTCTTTGCATTTTATTTTTAAAATTTTGCCAATAATTTTGGTAAACTTGATATTACTAAAATTGGGGTATACCTGTCCCAAAGACTGCTATGTAAAAATTTATTTTGATCAATCATGATAAAAAATGTGCCTTATCAATTAGTTACCATAGATATTATCCTATCCAATACAAAATGGCATAATAACATCATTTGAGAGTTATTATGATTATAAAATTAAGGTATTTTGTGATGCAGACTCAAGATCAATCTGTTGATTTTGTGTATTGGTGCAAAACTACAATATAAAATATTCTACATTAAATTTTGGCAATTGAATTTTGAGGGTTATGTACTCTGAAACAGGTTGTAATGTATGACAATAAGCAAGCACATATGTCTTTTATGGCTTTTTCATTGGTTTATGTTACTTGAGAACTTCCTTAAACAATGCTTCTTATACGATCAGTCACACATGCAAAATAGTTCAGATAAGTTGGTGGGCAATGGACCTACCTATATGTAAATGAAAATGGATTGGTCAATGTACAACAATTTTGAATGATGAAATTAGTTAAATATCTGAGAATATAGAGTCTGGAGTATGCTGTAGGTCTGTGACATTGAATACATTAAAGATGTGTTACTGTTAAATACTCAATTTATTTCGATATAACTCTCATTTATTACCATTAGGCTTAGCATGTAAGGATGGAATGTGTCCTAATTTATGACCTTAAATTTTGGTAAGAATACTTTCCCTTCATTTAAATTAATTAAAAGAATTAACGAGGCTAGGGGGTGGCAGCCATTTTTAGACTATTTCAATCTCCTTTAAAAGGAGAGCTCCATATATAGATATACAAAATGATAAAATTTTAAAACTAAAATATGTGAATTTTTTCTTTGCCAAATGATAGTTGACAGCTAAATATACCATATCTAAAAAAATAAGTTAAATCTGGTGGTTAATTTAAGATTAAATTTTTGACCCGCCAGCCTCCTTAATTTAAAATATTTAATTTAATTTAATTTAATTATTTATTTATTTATTTATTTATCTATTTATTTATTTATTCATTTATTATTTTCATTTTTATTTATTTATCTATTTATTTATTTATTCATTTATTATTTTCATTTTTATTTGTTTAAAGATCACTTCCCCCCAATGCATTTTTGTTAATTAAGTACTGCTAAGGTACTCAATTTTGTTTCTTCTGGGCAATGCTTGCTTGACTATAAAATGCTTTAATATGTCAAAGTATTATGACATTTAAGAGTAGAGAATTTAGTCCCATTAGAGATTGAAATTATTAATATTTTTACTTAAATGCTAATTTACAAGCTTTAATTTGCATTCCAGTCAATCCTATCAAGTTATTGAAAACTCAATCTGAGCAGAATGATTTATTTTCTTATCAATTTGTGAAGTTTAATTTCATTTTTAAAGGACCAGTAGAATCTCGAGACATGCTGAGATAAAAGTAACAGCTTCTCACCCTTGTGTGACTTTTACGCCTTGTACTAATATAATTTGCTCCTTGTTTGTGGCTGAACCCAGCATATCTATTCTAAGGCATATGAATGATTGATTATTGCTGCTTTATGCGACGGTTTATGAAGCCAAATTCTACATCTTTCTTGTCTACAATATGTAGAACCTTAGTTACCCTGAGGCAAAAAGCTCACTCTAAAAGACTTAAAATTGTATTTTTTATAGCTGTTGACCAGGTGGACAACAACAATTTCCCTGGTTAACCATTGAGTATCCTCATTTTGAGGTACTCCCCCCCCCCCCCCTAAAAAAAAATTAAGAGAAAAATCAGTTCATATAAAACTATGCCCTTTTATTTTTCGGCAAAATATTATCTGTTTATGCCTTTATGCATTTTCTTAAGATGTTCCCATAGACCAGCAAATAAATGAAACGATACCAAACTGCAAATGACTCATAACAATGATGATATTAACCAACATCCTTTCGGTACTTTCAGTACTTTGATTACTGCAGAAGTGAAAGTGACGCAATTCTCGTGAATGTTCAATTGAATAGTCAAGGACATTTAAAGACTATTAAATTTTGGCAAAATGTGCAAGTACTAAGTACCTTCTACAGGCTTCATAACATTCGAAAACAAAGCTTAAAACGGATTAGTATGCCTGACTTCATATTTCTGCGCTTGAACCCCCCCCCCCCCCCCAACCCATAAGCGAATCGGAAATAATTACATTTTACTCCTAAAAAATAATTACTTAAGTTAAAACCATCCCTTGACTTCCATATTTTTCATATTGCTGTTATCTTTCATTCAAATTATACCATATAGTGTAAATTAAACCAATTAGCCGACGTTTGATCTTGACAAAAAATATCTTGCAAAATCCAAAGTAAAATTACACCATCGGCACGTCTAACTTGGCTAGAAATCATAAACCATGATAGTTACTCATAAAATTAAACTTATTTCATTACGAAAATTAAAATATTGCAACAATTCAACTTCACAAAATTTTCCATGACCTTACCGTTTTATCGATTTATCAAGAAAGGAAGAGGAGGTAACAACTAAGTATTAGACTAGTACATGTAAATGGACCTAAATTTTCCGGATTTATGGGTTGGGACTAAAGGTACATATAATATATATCTGTAAGGGCTTAAGATATCCGGAATGGAAGGACATAGGGTTACTGAAATAAACTCACTTATCCGAGACAGGCTCGAATAAGTGGTAATATGATCGCTTATGTTAGAACTTTAATGAAAACAAATTTTATGTTCCATTTTTGG